GTGATCTGAGTTTTTTTCCCGATTTGGTTTCCTGATCTTCGCAATTCGATCTCTTGTCTTGATTGAAATCGTCGATTTGGATCTACTTTTTTCAAAGATATTTCGATTTGAATGTTTGTGTTTGTATTAAAACAAAATTATGATGTGACTGTATTCGATTTTGGGTTGTTTATGTACTTTGTTCGATCTATGTCTGTGATCCGCGAAAATTCACATAATTTTTGCTCTCATATGCGAATTTCGCCCATGTCCTTGAACCGGTTTCAATTGCATGTACCAGATCTGAGATTTTGATTCATGAAATCATTTTTCCTCGTTGAATTTCTCATGGGCAAGCATGATCATGATTTGTTGATTTGGTATACATGAATTATGCGTTTTCGATTTCTTACAATACCGGATCTGGCTGACTGATGGTATTTGCATATTTTGGTACTCTTTTTGAATGCTTATAGCTTTATCTTGCATCTCAATTTCCATACAGTGCTTGAATTCTCGGATCCTGAGATGGTGAAATTAGAGATCTGATTCAACCGTTTTAAGGGCCCTTTGATGTCACTCAAGTTAGTCATAATTTTAATATTTTTCCAGGTAACAATGGTGAAGATCTGTTGCATTGGAGCTGGGTATGTTGGTGGTCCAACTATGGCAGTCATTGCTTTAAAATGTCCATCCATTGAAGTTGCTGTTGTTGATATCTCCGTGCCAAGGATCACTGCTTGGAACAGTGACCAGCTTCCGATCTATGAGCCAGGTCTCGATGAAGTTGTCAAGCAATGCCGTGGCAAGAACCTTTTCTTCAGCACTGATGTTGAGAAACACGTGAGAGAAGCTGATATCGTCTTTGTCTCTGTTAATACCCCGACCAAGACTCGTGGTCTTGGAGCTGGTAAAGCTGCGGACTTGACGTACTGGGAAAGTGCGGCTCGAATGATTGCTGATGTTTCGGTTTCTGACAAGATCGTTGTTGAGAAATCAACTGTCCCTGTCAGAACCGCTGAAGCCATCGAGAAGATTCTGACACACAACAGTAAAGGAATCAAATTCCAGATTCTCTCCAACCCTGAGTTCCTTGCTGAAGGAACCGCCATCGAAGATCTTTACCAGCCTGACCGTGTTCTGATCGGTGGCCGTGAAACACCTGACGGGTTTAAAGCCGTGAAAGCCTTGAAAGACGTTTATGCTCATTGGGTTCCCGAGGAAAGAATCTTGACCACTAATCTCTGGTCCGCTGAGCTCACCAAGCTCGCTGCTAATGCGTTCTTAGCCCAAAGAATCTCATCAGTCAATGCAATGTCTGCTCTTTGTGAAGCCACTGGTGCTAACGTCTCGGAAGTCTCCTACGCTGTTGGTAAAGACTCGAGAATTGGCCCCAAGTTCTTGAACTCGAGTGTTGGTTTTGGCGGATCCTGTTTCCAGAAAGATATCCTCAACTTAGTCTACATCTGTGAATGCAACGGCCTCCCTGAAGTAGCAGAGTACTGGAAACAAGTCATCAAGATCAACGACTACCAGAAAACCCGGTTTGTAAACCGCATTGTCTCCTCAATGTTCAACACAGTTTCCAACAAGAAGATAGCTGTCCTGGGATTCGCCTTCAAGAAAGACACAGGAGACACTAGAGAGACTCCAGCCATTGATGTCTGCAAAGGTTTGTTAGGAGACAAAGCCCGAATCAGCATCTACGACCCACAAGTCACTGAAGAACAGATCCAAAGAGACTTAACCATGAACAAATTCGACTGGGACCATCCACTTCACCTCCAACCCATGAGTCCAACCACTGTGAAACAAGTCTCGGTCGCTTGGGACGCTTACGCTGCCACTAAAGATGCTCACGGAATCTGCCTTTTAACCGAGTGGGACGAGTTTAAGACGCTTGACTTCGAGCGGATCTTTGAGAATATGCAGAAACCGGCGTTTGTGTTTGATGGTAGAAACGTTGTTGATGCAGAGAAGCTGAGGAAGATTGGGTTTATTGTTTACTCTATTGGTAAGCCATTGGACCAGTGGCTCAAGGACATGCCTGCTCTTGCTTAGTTTTGAGTCTTTTCCCCATTCTCAAAGAGTTTTATATCCTATTTTATTTGGTTCTTTTTGGTTTTTCTATTTTCGTTTTACCAAATAATTTGCTGTTTTCTTCTTGGCCCGACTCTGAAAATATTTTTCAGTACTTATTATGATGAATGGTTAGGAAAGAGACTTGGTTATTATTTCTAATACTTTGTACTTTGGTTGGGTATCAAATCAAAAAGATCTAAAGACACAAAAGGACACCATAAAATTATATCTTTTTTAGTGTTTTTGCTATAAGAATATCTTTTAATGCCG